ACACAACTAGATTGAAATTTTGTCAACCGTCTAAAGTCAAATCTGGTATTCAAGTATCAAAAAGTGTAGAGTTTGCATTCTAGTGCTTGAAATTTTTTTTTTATAAATTTTTTTTTATGATTTCAAAGCAACAACTTTTCAAAGAGAATGTTCTCTAATGATATGTTACTCATATCAAGATAGGACCTTAATCCTATTGAGTCTTGACCATCAACCAAAAAACAGGGAGAGATAAATTTAAACTACAAAAAAGGAAGAAAATCAAAGTAGCAGAACAAAAAAAGATTTATTAGATTTCATGGAAAAACATTTCATAAGGCAAAACAACTAACACTTTGTTTGATACTAAGATTGCTAATTTTTGTTTCCTCAAAATTAAAGTGCAAATGTAAATACTAAAAACGAACAAATAACCAAAATAAAAGTTAAAATCGTGCATTTTGTAATGGAAAAACTGCATATTTCCTTTTATATACAAACTCAATCCTAATTTCTACTCTACGAACACTAATTTTTTTTATCAAGAAATGAAGATTTTAATCACAGCAATGACTTCAACATTCTATAACAATTTATATCCTCAATCTACGCTAAAAAATTTAGACTAATTTGATGCTAATTGAACATTAATTTAAAGTAAAACAGCAGCAAAAAATTATAAAGGAAAAATGAAAAATAAAAAGTTACCGCTGATGCAAATGATCTCATCAACACCCTTGGATTTAAGCTCCTCAGCTTTCTCGATAAATCCAGGCACATGTTTCAAGCTGCGTCACACCAAATCAAAACCCTCCATTGAAATATCCGCTAAAAAATAATCGGCCACGTTGACCGGCAACAGACGGTTAAAATACTAGAGGAAGAAGAGAATTGTATTTTTTTTTTACCTGCAAGTGGGGGTAAAGGCACCGGGAACACCAAAAAGGATGACCTTTTTACCGGCAGCGAGTGAGTGTACGGACACCTCCTGGAGCTTATCCTCTGCGTCGAAGGAGGAGAGAGAACCGTCGGGAAGCAAGTCGCCGACAGCAATCGGAGCCATTGGATAGAATCAACGGTGATGTTGTTAGTTTGGCAGATGAGGCACTTGATCGGATGGGATAAATGAAGCGATGAAATGAATCGAAATGTGAAGATAGTGTGAGACTATTTATAGGGTTTTAGGACTTTGAAATCGTGATTTTTGGAACAAGGTTCTATTAGCTGGATTTCAATTACTTTGAGATCCGCAAACCAAAATAGTGGGAGATAAAATCTGTGCCACCCCACATTAAATGTTATTGGTAAGGCAATAACGCTGCGCCACGTGATCAAACTTACATAAACGGTTACTTAAACAAGCCGAGCCTCCACGCCGTCAAAGGATTGTTCAGCAGCATCTTTTTTTAATGTCTTACTTTCACATGTGTCTGATTTGAGAATTGTTTTGGAAATCTTGTTAACATTTCAAATTCAACTGACTTGACGAAATGTTGAAATCTCGTCGGGACGTCCTTTTAAAGATGTTATACACACCTTCTGGATGAGGTTGACTAGAGCTTGGCCGTGGCGCTGCTGACCGTGTCTAAGGTCGGCCCGAACCACCGATTCAAATCCTACAAAAAAGCAAAGCCTGCTCAAGGACAATGACATTCTTTGTTTAAACGCAGACCAAATGGTATACAAGCACTTCTTTATTTTTGGATGGGGTAGGTCAATTGATATTTGGTAAAAAAATATTTTTTTTAATTTAATCATTTTATTTAAATTTGTAATTTTTTTAATTTTTAAAATTACTTTAATTTAATTTTTTTAATATTCTTATTTAAATTGACTATATTAACGAAGTATTAATGTGATGTTAAATACTAACATGAAATATAAAATGAGTTTAAATTATCAACATATCAAAGTGACGTGACAATGTTACATCATATTTCAAGTTCTAGTTATTAGCGTGGTAATGTCATGTTTTATTAATATGTTGATGTGATGATGTCACGTCAATAATCTAAACTCATTTTATATATTAATTAATATATGACGTCACGTTAATGTTGATTTTAATACCACAACCATCAATATAAAATAAAAATATTAAAATAAATTTAAGTATTAATGTGACATTATCACATCAACATATCAAAAAGTGACGTGATAATATCACATCACACTTCGAATTTTAATTACTGACATGATAATATCACGTCATACTGACACGTTAACGTGATAGTGCTATGTGAGTAACTTAAACCCACTTAATATGTTAAATCAATATCTAGCATCACGTCAATATTGATGTAAATACCGTAAAAGTTAATTTAAAAAAAATATTAAAAAATATTAAAAAAATTAAATTGAAATAATTCTTAAAATTAAATGATTAAAATATTATAATTTTAAATAAAAAATTAAATTAAATAAAAATACTAACTTTTTATATATTTGGATCATTGATAATATCACAGCTTCTGGAGCTGTTATCTTAAATTCTCAATTTATATTTTTTGGGAGATGATAAATGATTTGAATTTGTAAAGAAAAGAATAAAAATAACAATACTAAGACTAAATAATACTTTTTTTTACACTGATTAAAGATGTACTTAAATAAAGAAATTTAAAATTCAAGCATTTTTTTAAAATAAATTGTACTTATTCTTAATTAAATAAGTATGCATAGAGGGTTTGTTCAACCAACGACCAGCAGTGGACAGGTCATGTTTCTCCCAATTGGTTGTTTCAATTGATTTCTGTGGTGTAAAAGGGTTGCGCCGCTTGCTAAATTTCTCTTGAGAGTCGAAACGGTCAAGAAACGCTTATGAAAGTGTAGTCATTTCACACTGTGGATGGGCTTTTCTCAGCCGTTGTGTTTAGATTCTCAATCAATTATTCCATTCACAATGGTCGAACTGTCAAGGTCCACCATAGAGTCAAATCCGGTAAAGGAGAAATCACTTACCCTACTTGGAAAAGCTGTAGAGCAAAAGGAAATAATAGATGAAATAAAGAAACTATTGTCTGTCTCTTCATTTTTCAGATTCAAAGTTTCTCTTCTCCATATAATTATAAAGAAATTCATTGTCTCCCCATTTGATATATAGATTTTAAGCTTCTAGGTTTGGACTAGCCTAACATAAGCCTTTACCATAAAGAGGATGTTCCAATTTTCAAATTCTCTCCTTATATAGTAATCTAAAAAGAACCAAAAAGACAAAAAAAATAAAATTTCACTGTTAGATATTAACCAGTGAGAAATTACTTTATGTACAACTTATTGCTTATATTGTAATTGCTGAACGTCCAGATCAAGACCAAACCAAACACAACTGGGAATTCCTTAAACTCGTCCACCTCTTCATCTTTTTCACCTTTTTCCTTAAATATTCTTGCCAAGATTCACAAGAATATGCTTCTGTGGCAGTCAATTGCAGCCTGCCTGGTGGTGAAGGTGATCAACTTGAATCTCTTCTAGTTATCTGACCAAGTAGAGATTCAATGTTTCCAAGGCCCCCAACCATCAAAGCCTTGAGTTGATCTCAAGGTTTCTGATCGTGCAAACTTTATTAAGAAACTAAAGGTGCGCTGAAGAAAAATAATACAAAATCATTCTTCAGCAACCAACTTGAATCAGTAAAATGTAAAAGTTTTGCTTTATCTGACATTAATGTAATCTAGATATGAGCACCAAGGACCAAATAGACAAAAACTTTAACAAAATAACTGAAAATGCTCTTTGAAGCATAAACTGACCAATTAATAGATATCATATAAGCCATTTTATTATAATATCATCAATGACTATGTCTACCTTGGTTTCTCCGTTGCTGTATTGAGCTTTTAACCTTTAGGATAGTCATATCCCTCAGAATCCTGTTGTGGCAAAGGTGAGGTGATTGATCTTACATGCTGCCACTTGGACTTGGGGAATGGTAAATGAGCACTTGTTTGTCTTTTACACATAGGGAATAACTCAAGGAGAACATGACAATGAAAAAGATCGTGAGTCCTATTGGCACTCTGAAGACCACAGCTCATCCAGCTTCAATCTTCAATATAAACTACCACAGTAATAAAATCATAATCGCAATTCCAACCAAAGCATAATACCAGTTGAAGCAGCTGATGAAGAGCCCCTCAATTTAAGGGTGTTACGATTGCCATAACGATGCAACATGGTCAACCAACAAGCCCTAGTGCCAGCAGCTCCTACAGGAGTAAGAATAAATGACAATATAAAAGCACCAGCTGGGCTGGTTTTGGAGACATACAACAACTTATTATTTGGTGGTTGCAATCTGGATATGGAGGTGTAGTTTGTTATTGTATTGCTGTTAAGTTTCAACTGTAAATGTTCCCCAAAGGAACAAAATATTGTAAAATGTATCATAAAAACAATTAGGAATGAACATGATGTGGGTGCTCGCTAGAATCATTAGTTAATAATCCCATGCAGGGTAATCAATAACACGGTACAAAGCAAATAGAAAGAGGAAATCATGCATGTGATGAGTAGCATTTCACATTATGTGTTTCCAATACCCAAATTAAAATTCCTCAAGCAACAAGGTCAAGCAAAAACATAGTATCGGGACAAGTAGCTCCATAAAAATATATAGTAACTTTCAACCAGAGCTTTTGCTTTTCCCTATAAGCATGTGAAATTGCATGTATTAATTGTTTCCGGCAAATTGACACTAAAAAGCTGCATTACCTTAAAGTTGGTCCCAAGCACACTATTAAGTCCTTTGAGAACAAGATGTGATTTCTTCAGAGTATATCAGTAAAGATAGATATCTCTGAACATAATCCCACATATTGTGTTCTGCCAAACAGTAATCAATGAGGAACTTTAGCAAGTTAGCTTCCAGAAAAAAGACTAATGACTGATCCTGGTGAAATTAGATGAACCTGATCCAAGTACCAACCAACAAAGAAAGGCTCCCAGAACAGGAAAGAAATTTCAAATGGCTGATCAAATGAACAGTATATTTGTTCCTATAGAATTGTATTTTTTATATTCATTAAGTGCAAGATCATATATGCTTGAATGCTCATGATTGCAAACTTCTCAAATGTCTCATCTTCTTTTTCACCATTTTCTCAGATGTCTCGTTAGCATAACAAATAAAACTTGAAAAGCAATAAGATTATCCTGACGGTAACTTGCATGTGAGATTGCATAGAAATCTTGACATCAACATGGAGTCCATCAAGAAAAGCATGATCTTATCTAAGACTAAAAAAGGCAATGGCTCCAACAAGTTGGCAAAATTAGACTACTGAATCATTTTATCGAAGACTATAATATGTTTAAAATAGATATTTCAAATTATATACCTGAAGAGAAAACTGAACTTCCCCAAAGCATATGACTTTCCAGGAAGGTGGTAATCAGAGGGACCAGTTAGACTGAAGCATAAGAGCCAGGGTGCTGGAATTTCCATCTACAACATAAGCAACGCCTGGCTTCAAGTTAAATCTCTTAGCCAGGTTAAATTTTATATAGGATTCAACCTGAAACTTGTCCCAGTTTCCTGGAACTTCAACAATCCCACCAACACTCATGCCCCAACCAACTACATCTTCAGAAATATCAGACAAATTGACAGCCCATTGTAAATGTTTTGAATTTGTTTGTTTCATCTCAATCCAACCTGCAAGTCTTTTGTATTCATCAAGTTCTGACTCCAGCTTTAGGGCAATAGACCCAGTTTCCGGGCTGTTTGTCATAAAAGGTCGAGAAGATGCTTCAATTATTGTATCAGCATCTTCAAGATGTCTTGAAAATCCAATTGGAATAGCAATGGCTCCAAGGCGGACATTACGACTTGCTAATTTAGGCCCTCGGTGAAGGCCTAAGAATGAGAATTTCAATCCTATTGGAAGCTGACAAACAACTTCGAGAAAAGTACTACAGCAATGTTCATATCTCATCCCAGAGACAGATTGAGCCAGCGAAGCAATGATATTTGACTTTCTCACTGTCATCCCAATTGCACCTCCATTATGCTGATGCAACAGGGGTGGCCCAAATGATAAATCAGTGAGGCCCTTTTCCTCCTAGACAACAAAACAGAAATTCCAGGTTAATGCCGAAAAGAGTTCGAGACAATAACTAAAAGTTCACATCATTATGGAGTCTGATCAGTAACAACAGTAAAATTCATGCAAATAGATGCAACTCAATAAAATGGAATGCGCAGAACCTTACAGCAAGAACATATAGTTTGCACAATTTAGTTAAAACACTTCTCAACAGTTATAAGTTCATAAGTAATTTACAAGCGAGCCCCTACAAGACATCTATGTCAATGGTTAAAACTTGAGATTCCACGTCTCAAGTTCGAATCTTAGGAATGGTTGCCAGGCTTACAGAAAGCGGAAGAGCTACCTCACCTTATGTAATCCAAGGTCTAGTCGATTGTACCTGAAGGGAAATGTCGGAGGCAACATCGAAATCTCGAAACTGAGCTCCAAATGGGATTGCGATAGCAGAAAACCAATCACCAGCATTTGCTTTGTAAAACAACTTAGACAGCGAAAGTGGAGTTCCATATACATCACCATCATTACTTGTATCCCTTTTCTGATTAGCCACGAACTCAACCCCAACAGAATCTTTATCCCGAACAGTTGTCTCAAATCTAAACCTGGAACCAACCCCAGTTCTGATTCCTGCCCGTCCAACCCCATCCCAATGTTCCTGGTCGACATTAGACATTAACAATACGGCCCCAAGAAGATCAACTTCACCCCTCAAATGGGTACTTGATTCTTGGAATGGGCTCCCCTTTGATGTTTTGTAAAATGAAAGTAAACGTTCGACTTTGTCTTGCCGGTCTCGGAGTTTCATCAGGTCAGAAAAAGATTCTCGCTGAAGCCGCTTCAGGATTTCAATCTTTAAAACAAAAAAAAAATTTGTTAAAAGTAGTAAAAGAAATCGAGAGAGAAAGAGATTACAAAAATGAAAAAAAAATATACGATAAATACCGGATTGCTGCGAGATGAAGATTCGCGGCCTTTAACCAAGTCTTGAACGAAACCTTTTAGCTTCTCCACTGCTGAAGTTATGCAATCCATTTCCTCGAAGATTTTTGTGGGTTTTTGATGAAGGTATTGCTGGAAATGTCTATTTGAAAAGCGGGAGCGGCAAGGTTTGTTTTGTGAGCTTGGTGGATTAACAATTATTACTAGTATATTATTTGACTTTGATAAACTCCCACAACTTAGAATGAAGAAAAAGGATGAGCATCAGTTACTGCCGATCTCAAAATTTTCTATGTGGAACTTAGATCAGAATGAGACACGTACCAATCCGTCCAGATAATTTGATAGGAGTGGGAGGACTCTAAGAAAAAAGAAAGGGGTATAGACTAATTAAGAAAATGAGTTTTGGGCTTGGACATTGAGTGGGAGCAGCTCTGTATGTATACTGCAAGCTGGAGAATGAAGATGATCGCAAATAATTTTTTAACTTATTAATACGATTAGCCTTTAGTTTCTTTAGTTAATGAGAATATCTGTCATAAAAAGTCGTAAAAGAGTAATACATGGTTAAACTCATAGCATTACAATAAACAATTTTGTTTCATCTTATATACAATTTTCAAGAGTAGGGTCTGAAAATGAGGACTCTGTGTTTTTGTTTTCTTCTTTTTCTACATTTTTCCATGTACCCAAAATGGTTATTTGAATGGTGCAAAACATATCTTAAATTAGCAATCAAGTCCATTTGTAGGCTGCGAAAGAATTTTCAGTGGAATTATTCTGCCTTCCGAATTGTTATATCATCAAATCAATGTGCTCTCTCCATAATTTACAGCTTCCTTTCTCCTTTCCTGCTTTTCTAACTCAATCCCCATGCCTGCAGAGTAAACAAGCTTTGACAGTTAACTATCACGGCATATCATTCAATTTTAGTGAATGTTTGAAGGCTGGATGAGGCATGCATCAAAGCAAAGGAATTTTTGTTTGTTTACCTGAATTCTGCCATCAGAGGTTCCGATGACTAAAACTTCTTCATTAGCATCAAGAGTCATGCATAGAACTTTACTATTAGTTCCAGTTTGCAGTATTTCAATTCTGGTATGTTTTTTCTGATCCCAAACTTCCACAATTCCTCCTCTGCATCCCAAGTATATCAGCTCTGAGCTTAATGCCATGGACCTCACTTCTGAAGTAGTTGGCAGTGATCCTACCACGCTATAATTTGTAGCGCTCCAAATCTTTGCAGGAAAAACAAATGAAAGGTAAAAGGAAAGAAAAAGTCATTGTTTGTCACCAAAATGAAGAAGATCTAAAGGGAGGTATAGCCAAAAAGAAAAAGAAACCTTCACAGCCACTCCATCTAAGGGAGGGCTGGCTGAATATATCAGTCCATTGTGAACTTGGAGGGCATGGACAGGATGTGCTTTGCCTAGTAATTTTCTCGAACCACTTTGAATGGTACTGAGCGTTCCTGATGCCAAATCAAGTTCCTGAAAATCAAAATTCTTGGATTAGGAATTTAGGATTTCAAATGACTGAAAAAAATGAAAAACAAATTCCAGAGAAGCTGGATGCTTTTAATTTTGTCAAAGAAAACCTGATACCTGGATACTGTTATCATGGCATCCACAATACAATCTTCCATGTACAAGAGCCAAGCACTTTATGTATTTGTTTTGATTCAATAGTTTTGATTGTCCATTCCATGCATGAACCTGCAAGGGGTAGAATAAAAAAAATTTTAATTTCAGTTATACATTCAAGTCCCCTTTTCAGATGCAGAAACCTAAGTGAATACAGCTGCTCCTTCTGGAATGAAGCGTGAAATGATACCCAGCACAGAGAAGAAGAGTTAATTGATCTGATACCTTGACACCAGCTCCTTGTGGAATGAAGCAGGAAATGCTGTTGGCAACAACTAAGTTATGAACCTGATCCTTCATATCATGTACTTGTACACAATGTATCAGTTCATCACCAATGGACCAGACCTGCTCATTGCAAACAAAATGTATCAGTGTCGCCATTGAGTTGATGTAATCTGGAAGAAGCATAAGAGCATACCCTAGCAGTTTTATCAAGTGAACCACTATATAATCTTTCCCCAGATTGTAGAATATACAAGCTTGTAACAGGCTTGGAATGTTCTCGAATTTCTTGGATAAGATGAAGAATGCTGCCTCTACCAGTCCAGACCTTCAAAATTTGGACAGAATAGTCAAACTCAAATTTCATAACTTACTACATCAAGTACAGTTTCATATAGAATAAAGTAGCAGTTCAAAAAGCAGTTTTAATGCATTCATGCTTAAGTGCTTTAATTTATCATATATAGGGCCAAGATTCTATTTTACAGTCAGGTGAGATAATCATCTGGATCAGTGCTAAACTTGTATCATCAATTAATGACTGCAATTTCTCCATAAATAAACTCCACATAGGAGGAGTGGCCAAAAAAATTTCAAATAGGAGAAGTGGCTGAATAAACCAATTGAATACTACCCCTCATTCATTGAAAGCTCATATACATATTGGTGAAACCCTTTTCAAGCATGCGTGTATACCACCATTTAGAACATAAGGAGCAGGATTTCAGGAATGCGAAAATTGCAAGTTGTTTTCGTCCAAACAGGATGCAATGCAATTTCTTTTTTAACATTTTTATGGTATAGAATCTGACATATGTTCATATAGTTGAATATCCTATGTATGTTTATGTACAATAAAATTTAACATTAACTGTCGTGCAATAAAGTTGGTACAATTACCAAACAGTCAGCGTGAGGATTGTGAAATATAACATCAGAACAGAGCGTTACCTTGATAGTTCCATCTGAATGGCCTGAAAAGATCTTGTCTTTGAAACTAACCATTGACAATACTTCTCCATTCTCACTGGAGTCTACTTGAACTAGTTCTTTATGATTCCACATGTCCTTCAGCACGACAGAAATAGACAATTTCACTTAGATACTTCATCTTCTTCTGGAATCATAACAATCAGAAGTTTAACAAACTTACTGCACTGGACTCTTGTCCTTCAGAGAGAACTTTGATAATTTCAAATGCCAAGGGGGAGGATTTCCTAAGCTCTCTTAGACCTTTCAAAATGTCCTTCATATAGGAAGTCAGATCATGCAGTCCTTCTGAAATTCAGATAATCATCCACTGTTAGCCCACTTCATGGCTACATTTGCTAATAGATCTGAGCGATAAACTGGTGTATAATTTCCCGTTACAGGAAATTTGCTATAATTTATTACTCTATCCACTAAATGCTATGAAAAATAAGTCATGATTGTTATCTTGTTGGCACCAAAAGACAGCCAGAAGATGAGAATAAAAGAATAAATGGATTTCAAGCTCCAAGAGATACCTGAGAGCATTTTTGTGCATCTTTTGAGCATGTATGCATCAATTTTTTTACTTCAAAAGTTAGAACCTACCAGGGTCATGAATGAAGCTTTTGAGAGCCAACAAGGAAAGGGTTCTGTCTTCAATGTCCTTCGCAGTCTTGAATATCGATATAAAGTGCTTGAGTAGGCAGACTCGAGCTGCTCCTCTTATTCCCGTGTCTGGAATAACACTGAGCATGTGTACAAGCCATGTTGCTGCCACAAAGCACGCTGAACATAGCTCTGCAGATCTGCTCTTCAGGCCTTCTGATAAAGCTTCAAAGAGCAGACCAAATTCATGACTTGCTAAAACAAATGCCATTTTTCTTTCCCAAGCATCAGCTGCCTTCTCTTCTTGCTATTGATGCCATTGCCCATCATCCAAAAAACATGAAAAACATGTACTAGCTTCAACATTGTAAAGTAGCAAAAATGGCAAGCAGCATTGATGATCAAAAACCAGTTTGCACTTTTTCGAGAAGACTCACAGATATATCTTCAAATTTTCCAGGATTGTTGTGTAACTGCTCCATCCGCATGAGATTTCTGTAATTTTTCTCAAGTCCGGCACGTTTTAGAAGAAAAGGCCGTGTAAGGGGCTTCCCAGAGCCAGTGAATCTCCCCTGCAGTGATACAATTGTCTCCGCAGCTGCAATTTGAGCAGCAGGGAATTCTGAATTTCTGAGGCATGAAATGAGAGTATCAATTGCCTCTTCACGGTATATACTCATCTTTCTTGGCTCAACCTAAAAAGCAAGATATACTATTAATAGTTTAATGCTATCATCTTAGGAGATGTAACCATCTAAGCAATTGTGAAAGATTATTGAAGCCAATTACTGCATGAAATAAACAAATCCTAGAACCTATAGACACAGATTTCTCATATATTAAATACTGGAGGGAGATTTTAGGTCCAAACCAGAAGATCAAGTTGGAGTAGGAGACCCGCCACAATAGGACATTGGTCTTGGAGCGCTGTCTGTAAATAAACAAGGAGACTGTGCATTGTACTAAAAGCGCCTTCATCCCTGATGATGTTGAGAACTTGCTCGTTGAATGTCCTCCTGGAGAAAACCAAATATTAGAAATTCATTCATGCAGGCATGCGACAATAATGTATATTGACTAACACAAAGATAATATACCTGTGTAATTTGACTAACTCATAAAAAAAGTAAACTATCTCAAATCGTTCTTCACCGCTTGTGGCCATGAAGGTTTCTAAAACTGGAGCCAACTGAGCCTTATCAGCTATGATGTTTCTGCATTTACCATCTTCCTGTATGCATCTTCGTAGGATACCAACTGCAGCAATCCTCTCAACTGCCCATTCAGCTTCCAAGCTGCCAACAATACTTTCAATCACTTTTGAAGAAACAATTATACTGATAATTGACGATGCAACATTCTCTTCATTGCTCTGAAGAATTTGTCGCAATAAGAGAACAGAAGCTGTTTTTGGCTTCACACATATTTTAAGCATATCATCATCTCTCTTCTTTATAATTGCTAGGAGGGACTCCACCACATCCATCGCTACTAGGCCAGTCGTTGGAGGTTGTAACAGATATATCAGCACAACCGCCTCCTCCAACCCTTCCTTAAATAAAGCCACAATACGTTCTACATCAGAGTCAACTCGGGTAAGTGTATGGATCACAGCTTCATCTCTTGACCCCAGTTCACACAGGAGAAAAAAAGTGGCTTTCAACACTTGGAGGTCGACAGAATTGAAAAGGATCTCCACAAACCCATTGATTACTGGAGGTTTTGAGAGCATAGTTAGAATATCTGACTCTATATTCATGTCTTGCCAGAACCTCTCTATTTGGAGGACAGCCCTTTCAGACTCCTTCAGAATTTCAGACATACAAAGATTGGTAATCGCTTGGCGTAACTCATTAATAGTTCTATCCATGGTGGCTTGGCTTATGACGCTATTAGGGGAAGTTGCAGGAACTATGGACTTGACCATTGGCTTAGATTCTACATCTTGATGGTTCTCGGACTGATGTGGGACTGGACCTGGATTCTTTTCTTGCCAGCTTCCTATGAGCCTCTTGAGGACATAATTTGTTTTCGGCAGCTGCGTGCTATGTAGATTCTGGCGGGTAATTGGACATGTTGAGTTTCCTCGATCCAGCCATTCCTGGATTGCTCTGCGCTCATATGTCTGACCTGTCTCAAGGGTGACTGGATCATCAAATATATGGGTTGTGATGGGGCATACAAAATCCTTAGGAGGTGTATGTTTCCCACTACCAGGGGGGTTACCATTATCTGCCATTAGATAATCCGGGGAGCTGACAGATAGCAGGAAGAATCCAAATATCAGAAAGTGAAGTACACAATGTAAAGATGATTACTAATTTTCTTTATTACATACCGACGGGAATCAGCAAAAACAGGCTGCTTTTGTTTTTGTGTTAGGCTCTTTCCAGTTTCCAACAATGCAATTTCTCTGTTGTTTTCCTACAAGAGACAAACATAATATTTCAAAACTAGAATACCTGCATAGTTGGACCTGTCTGGGTGGAGATTTCTTTTCTTGTTTGTATCGGTTACCTCCATCTCGGCTTCAGGTTCCGAGGAACAGGAGTTGGCTGAATTGTCCTCGGATATAGACTCCAGTTCAGAATCAGAATTCAAATTGGACGATGTTGTCAATGTCCTGGAATTTTGTTTTTTGAGGATCTTTAGAGAGACTCTCTGAGGGAAAAATGGAGATTTGGATTTGCTGCTGCTGCTGCTATAAAATTCACCTGACCTTTCTCCTTCAGCCCATATCGGCTGCAGGAATTGAAGCAAAAGTCATTGACCTTGAGTAGCAAGCAGGACTAAACTAAGAATAGTCAAAGTGAATCCAGAGAACTGTGCTTTCACACAGAAAGTTATGCATCCATTAACCAAAAACATACAACAATAGCCCACTTGTGCAATAGCTATAGCCCCTATATGCTGTGCAGAAGAAGTCATAATGAGAACTTTTAAAACAACAAAAATCATGGGCATAATTGCAAACCATTTTCTTCAAGTTGGAAGTTGAAACCTTGGAATAATCCAATTGATATGATACAGAAAAAATTATAAAAAAAATCATGGGAGGCTGAATTAGTTATTGGAAAAATGCAGCAATCAGATGATTTTATGTTGAAATCTATCAATGATTAGCTTTGGTAAGAATTTAATTACCAAAGATTAGTGGCCCACTATTTATTAATAGAAATTCCTTAAGATCTCTTTCAATCTAATTTGCAAAGATACATTATTAAGGCTGTCTGGATCTAATCAACCGTTTTTAACCATAATATTTCCAGAAATTAAAGATGCTTTCAGAGAGTCCACTTCCTCTGGTCGAGCTCCCGGAAGGTGTGAAGCACACCAACACAAGAATAATTCCTTATATATATATATATATATAAATGTATGTGTGTATTCTTCTTTTTGTTTTGTATACTATTCTCTTTGTTTGACTGATTCAAAGATAATCTACCAAACAGACACAGTGAAGAAGAATTTCAAGCACAAGGGAAAACACGCGGTTAATAGATTTATATGAATAAATGAAACATGGACCACAAAGTGTCAACCCGATTTCACCACAGGAGATCCTCCAGATAGAAACAACTGCAGTGAATGGTAATTATAGTAAGCAAAAAAAATTTTGACCCCTGAAGAAGTAGAAATATCAACTAGTAAGGCACATATTATTTTTTAAGACTCTATTATTTGATAAAATATTTAAATTTTATAAATACTTAATTAAATTTTTTAATTTTTACTCAAACTCATATCTAAATATTTTAGACAGTACTTGTTAAATATCCATACTCATTTAATATCCAATCAAAATAATTTTAAAATTATTTTTTATGTATTTTTTCTTTTTTTTATTTTTTTATGTATATTACTAGTGAAAATTAATTTATAAAAAATAAATTATAATTTAACATTATAATTAGAATAATTAATAAATTTTAATATGTATTACATTAATTATAAAAAAATTATAAATGAAAATAATATATATAAATCTAAAAATTAATATTAAAAATTATAATTTATAATAGAATCCAAGCAGTGAATATCCTGAAATCGCTACCTGAGTAGCTTACCCCAATTTGTGAACTCTATCCAAATCTGATCATCTTGATGTAACTTAATCAAGTACACATTATCCCACCCTATTATGATTTACCGTCCTTGCTCAAAAGATAATTTAGGCGAAGCATTCAAGTATAATTATGTGACTACAACAATCGTGAGCAGATCATGCACATTAATAACAAGAAAAGGAATGAAATTGAAAAGGAAATTCAACTGAAGAAGAAATTATTAAAGGCTGCAGCATTACATTATACCGTCCGTTTTTCAGTCCAAGTTCCTTGGTTTTGATGTTCTTATCTTCCTGGTCGTAGTCTAGTTCTTCATCTTTCTCTGTTTGTTTCAAAACCAATGCCGGTGGACTAATCAATCTGTTTCCATCATCACTATTTTCTAAAACCTCTTGGAAATACTTAACAAGAACCCTGCAATTTTCATCAAGAACCTCTTCATAATTTCTTTCCAATTCCTTTAGCTCTAACGCTTGATCACCACTCATTTTCGATAACAGTTTCGAGCATGGAACGACCACGGATACATCACATATGGAATAATCATCAGCATCATGATTCACATTTTGTGATAAAGACGATAAAATGGTTGACCTTTGTTCATTGAACCGTTGAAGAACAGGCAGAAAATGAACGAGAAAGAGGTCCTCGAAAAGAGTAGGTGCTATTTCTGATCGAGCCAATGAAGGGTCAAGATAAAAAACTTGTAGGAGGCTGAGGGAGGATTTGATGGGTTGGTTGGAGAGAGAGTAAATGAGGGATAGAAGGAAAGAGGAGAAAGGGGTTCTAGGATAGGAAAGGAGGAGCTTTTGAGCAAGGCGGAGAGAGGAGGATTGGATGGAGGCATTAGAGGCGGAAATGGCGTTTTCTAGAGTTTCAGCTGCGAGGTTTAAGGGTTTGAGTGTGAGTTGATCAGAGGGCAAAAGTTTTCGGCGAAGGGTCGAGAGAATGTGGTGGCGGAGCTCCGATTGTGAAAGGATTTCGGAGGTGAAGGCGGTGGTGTGATGGAGGATTCCGGATGATGTAGTGGCAGTGGCCGCGGTGGTCATGGCGGAGCAGTGTTGCTACTGGCTAATGGAAGCGGTTGGTGTCAACTGTCAAGTAAAAGGTTCTGAGACAGGTTTTCGGTGTAGGGTTTTTGAGGGACTGAAGATGAAATATAGGCCGGAAGGGAGACGATGCTAACTGAAATACCCAATTTTTGTGCTGGCGCGAAGGCTATGGGACGGCTCATCTAAAATGACCGACCAGTCCTCCCTCGTCTTGCTGGAAATTTTAGAACTATCACGAAAAGGGCATTAACAACATTTCGGCTGAAGATGTTAAAAAGGTAATTTAACAAAATCGAACTTTAGCGGCGAATTGAATCCTTTGACAGTTTATGCAAATCGAAGAAAAGACAAGGAAGACTAGCCCCTCATGCCGACCAGGCCGGCCTCCCTGAAACGCGCTTCTTGCGTCCCGCGACTGCTTCCAATGTGGGCTATGCCCAGTTTCCTTGCAGGTGCAACAGGTTCTTCCATTTGTCGTCAGGTTGTCCTTATGATCAAAGCAGGCCACTAGGAATTCTAGATTGGGCCATCCCTTTGCTGAATTGGCCTCCTAAAATGGATTAAGATTCCATGGAATGCCTGCTATATCTTTCAAACCTGTAGCCATTGATACGGACATAGCTGTACACCATGATACATTATATTCAGCTGGAATGGGACAATATATTCTTAGCCCCACTTTCTTGTATGTTTTCTTGCCTCAGCGGGCTGAGCCGATTATACAGAGTGCATTTTCATAGATTAGTTCAAGTTCAATTAAATAAAGATTGGGTCATTGAATAAAAACGAAGAACTATTAGATTGACAACTTGCAGCAAATTTTGATTGATGTGAGATCAACTTGTCATCTTCGCGGCTTACTCGTAGCCTCGGACATTAGTATCTGCCCTTATATTCATTGACTTTATTGCCCTGCCTGTATTACGGAATGGAAAGTGGAGGGTATAATCCTTCTGCGAATTTGGTTGAAGCAACCCTTTAAAGATCAGAGAAGCTCTAGACTTCTAGAAAAGCTTCAGCTTGATGTTCATAATTATTGATGCAAACAGGTCTGAGCAAAAGAAAATATGAAATACAAGCCTTTCAAACGAATGCTATCAAATACAAATAAGACCCAATGTTCTCAAGGATGTTGGAACTTACATAATTGTACTAGTAACTATCAGAAATCAAATTAGAAATTTAAAAATCCAAACAGGATGTCTTAGAAGAAAAGGTGCATATTCTTATGAAGATAATAGGGAAATGAATTCAAGTAGAACACTGACTGAATTTTGGGCTGCCAAAGTGGTAAACACAGCAGCTTCATTTGACAAGGCAGAACCCCCACCAGCTAAATCAGACAAGGATCTAAATGCAATAAAAGGCATCTTTTGTTGGTGACAGACCAGAGCGACTGCAGCGGTCTCCATGTCGATTGCAGTTGCATTGAACTTGGAGTATAAGAATTCTCGATAAGCTCTATTGTCCGTAAAGACATTAGCGCTGATCCCTCTTTTTACTCTCACCACCATTGGATTTCTTGGTAAGCAAGTTGTATTAACGCATCTACCAAGGCTCAAAGCCTGTTTCGAAAAACTGAAATCAGAATCTACTGAAAGAATGTGTTTGTCTTTTTTTGACCAAACATGCAGTCAAAGACACAGAAATGTAATGGATCTTTTGGGATGCATTTAATTTACCTGAACTCTTTCTGCAACGGCAAAGTAATGCTTGTTGACTGGAACCCAAAAGGCATGCTGCCTCTGCTCAGGAATTCCATTCACTGGAAATATTTCTTCAGGCTGATACCAGACATTGTTGAGGAGGTTCTCTGAAGACTTACTGCATTCTGTGCCATTGTTGTAATCTGAAAATTTAAGGTAACCGATTGTTCTGGTGTAGTCTCCATTGGATTCTAAAGCTAGCTCATCCTCAGGTCCGTCTCCATACCTCTTTAAACATTAATTAATTGTAAAAGGAAGATTATAAGGAACTGGTCAATGCATAATTTTAAGAATTAAAAGGAAAGGCAAGATTTCTGGCCCCTTAAGGTACGATAATATATATAGAAGGTTTTGTATCAATAGTTTGCACTTCTCAAACAAAAGATCTTTTTGATCTTTATTATTGCAAACAAGAAATTCTTGAAATGGAAGAAAAAATTAGTGCAGTGCAATTGATTGTACTCCCAATGGATCCCACGCATGTGATTCCAATGGTTTTTGTAGTAGTTTTTAGAAAACCAAGAAACATGTGTGCAAGATCCATACACAAAGCAATCTAAAAAGTCTACTACGACATAACAAGGTGTAAATTGATCGGTACGCATGCAGCATGTATCAAAACTCGTTTGGCGTGGTGGAATATGGCAAAATACTCAAGTGGAAACTTTTCCATTAATGATTTTCTTCTTATTCCGAAATGTCTGATTCAAGGACACAATTACAAGGCTATTACTAGGAGGAGGTAATTTCATGGACACCACCACCTGCTGGTAGTTTTAAGTTAACGGTGGATGGATCAGTGTTGGGTAAACCTGGCCCGGCAGGCGTTTTTAGGGTTGAGAATGGAATTGTCAAGGGTGTTTTCCCCAAATCCATAGGGGGGATAGAATAAAACTTCTCCGAGTTCCTAGCTACTTGAGAAGGGTTTAATGATGGAATCTGGCATTAAGTTACCCTTCAAAGCTGAAAATCCAATAATCTTTAATGCTAAATATATCACCATATCACATAGATCATTGGGGGGTAGGGAGGAGGAATTAACAAAAAGTTCTAGTACCTGCCAATTCCAAAGACCTGTATGAGCCCAATATTGAGGGATGGTTACATCTCCAATTTGAAGCTGAGGATTTGCATTTCCTGCTATTCCATAGTGCAGAACTCCTTTCACCTTGAATAGGCTGAGCAGCAATTGTGTAGCTATACCTGCATTTAGCTATAAAAATTCCATGGGAAGACTCAATAACATCGAGCAACCAACAAGATAGAAATATTGAAAAAAAAAC